AACACTTTCATCTTGGCAAAAACATTCAATTCTCTTATTTCTACGAATCACATATCCAGCTGTACCATAGCTTTGGTTGTTTGACATTGAAGCATTGCTTGTAATCTTTGACATTGAACCCTAATTTGGAGAAGAAAATGGAAGATGGAAGAAAGAAGATGGTGATTTAACTCTATTTTGGAGAAGAAAATGGAAGAAGAGGAAATATGGATGAACATTGTAAATGGAAGATGATGGAACCTAAGAACCCTATAAAATTTATAACCATGTGTTGAATGTTCAATTTACCATTTGCTTACCTAGCATGCCACCTCGCCCATACTTAACGTTTTTCCAGACAAACTAATGGTATGAATCAAATGGTTTAACAAAAGTAAAGTTAAGAGATCACTATGTAATAATTTTTAGTTCGGAGACCAAAGCGAAATTCACTCAAACTTAAGGACCTAGAGACTAATTATGCCTTATAATTACTATAATTAAATATGAATGTAGAGTAGTATAATTTTTTTTTTTAAAATAGTAATAAAGAGAAGATAAAGAATAATAAATCACTATAATACTTCTTTCAAATATTACATTGATAATTATTATTGTGGGAAAACTGAAACTCCGAAATTGTAACATTGAAGAATGAAATGAGTTTTCACTATATTATTTGTATGAGCTCAAAATTTTGAAAGCAATATGTGTTAGAACAAAATTGGTTTGTCCCATATCCCTTAGGTTTTGATGATAACAAAGTATTTAGAGAATAATTGGGTATACTAATGTGTTGTTCAAGTGTGCAGGACCATAGACTAAAAATTTCGTATAAATCAAAGTATTGGTTCTGACTCTGAATATTTAAAGAGAAACATGAAGATCAAATCCTGATGGATGAAGGAGCTAAAGACCAGACTTTGAAGGAGTCATCTTCTGAAGAAGTTGTCATTCAAGGACCAAGGTGACAATAATAGGTCAATGTTCATCTCTGGACATACTTTGTCACGTGAAGACCTAAGCTCCATCTTCTTCATAGAGTCTTCTAGGATACAATTGACAATTCCTTTTGTAGAAAAGGATTTTCAAACTATTTCACCTAACCTGACAGTTTGGTGAAACATCACAACGTCTCTTTTAAAGCTTCTTAAAGGACTCTAATATTTCATCTTCAACGACTCTTTTTTTCTCTATTTAAGGAGCTAAAAGACTTGAAGATACACAAAATGAAAAAATGCTAATACATATCAATTGACAACAAAAAGAGAAGATAATTTGTTAAAGTATTAGCACAAGCTAAACTTATGATTTTTTTATCATTGTATATCTTATAAACCCTTAAGTCTTAAAAAAGTTTTATTGTGTTGTATTACTTGTACACCTCTAATTGTATATCAAGTGTATTCACCCAACAATCATTTATCTGCTAGATAGATTGTTAGAAGCCTCTTACTAAGTGTTTGAGCAAGGAAGTCTCTTGCTTGTGTGTTTGAGCAAGGAAGTCTCAAACTTGTGTGTTTGAGCAAAGGAATACTCTAGCTTGTATGCTTGAGCAAGGAAGTCTCAAAATTGTGTGTTTTAGCAAAGGAAGTCTTTATCTTGTGTGCTTTAGCTAGGAAGTCTCTAGCTTGTTTGCTAGAGTAAGGAAGTCTAATATTTGTGTGTTTGAGCAAAGGAATCTTAAAATGTATGCTTGAGAAAATTGTAATCTTGTGTGATTTTAGTGAAAACATCTTGTAAGTACAAGGGGAACTGAACTACTCTCGATTTGTGAGAGGAACCAGGATAACTCTATGTGTTATTCTTCTTTCTTACTTGTATCCATAGGGAAGGTGATTTAAAGGTTTCACATGTTAACATACGAAACACACATTAACAAATGCAACAACATCCTTTCACATTCCTTGCCAAAACACATTTTCTTGTAGCATGCCATATGTTTTATGTATCCCGCTATGTCCCCCAAGCAAGGAAGCATGAAATTATTCTAGCATGATTGTCTTAAGAGGAGAATTAACAAGAATGTATAACTTTCCCTTAAAGAATAATAAGGCGTTGGGAGTTTAAAATCTCGCATATTGAAGGGGGGTATTGCTGGACCTTGCGATATAAGGCTTGAAACTTTGGATCCTAAAGTAACTGAGACTTGAATTTCTACAGAAAATCCCAGTGACGAGTTGTAATCATCAAACAGTGCACACGAGATAAGGTGTCAGCTACATTATTTTGTGGCCCAAGCTTATAAATGACTTCATAAGAATATCCAAGCAGTTTAGCCAGGTAAATGGTAAAGGTACTTCCGAGTAAATAGATACAACATTTCTTAATTGCTGAAGTAATGACACATGATTCTCGGACGTGAGTGGACACAGTGAGCATTCGAGGGTAAAAGTGCTTACTATAATAACAAATAGGATGACCTTGTTGGATCAAAACAACACACATCCCTAGTTCGAAAGTATCTGTTTCTATAATGAACCTTTCTTCAAAATTTGGTAAAGCTAATACAAGAGCCTTTGTCATCACAAGTTTTAATTCAAAGGCCTCTTGTGCCTAGTTAGAACAAAGAAAGGAATCCTTTTTTAAGAGATCTGTCAATGGTTGTGAGGTCATGATGCAATCAAATAAAAGCAATAATTTGTTGTGGTTATGGTATGGAAATAAATAAAAAGGTACAACACTACAAACACTTTTGCAGAATTTAGTAGAAAATATAAACAACTAAGATATTACTTCTTCAATCATTTTTTTGTGTCTTATTGATATGCAATGGATACAATATATAATACTATAACACCTAGGATTCAAATAATACCTCTCCACCTAGCACATGCATTTCTTTCTCAATTCTATCTATTACTAACAAAATAATATGACTCATCAACCTTCTAGAACTAGGTGACTCATTACATAGAGAATCTTTTCTTAGGAAGTGCATTTTTAGAGACCACGTAATCCTTGAGGTACTAGGGCCTCACTTTATTCCTTTTGGATCTCACTTGAGGAATGGACCTTTCCTCCTCTTCACTTTCAGGCCTATTGTTCATGACATAACCTCCTTCTCGAAATGGGTTGGTGGAAGACAAACCACTAGATCCTGAAAAATACAAGCATGGAAGGGGACAAAACACCCCTCAAACCTATGAAAAATCCTTTTTTTGGGATGGACTCGGCGAGGTTTCCCAATCGGAAGAAACCCTTGTTTCTAAGTGATCAAACGACATCTCCTTCCCTGAGACGAAAAACAAACTCATGGACTAACTAAGATGGCTCAACCCAAGAATAATCTTCTACGGCGATCGCTGCCATCAACACTGATGAGACAAGCGAGATTAGAAGATTCAGGGAATGACGTGAAGAGATACCGAGAAGAAAGCAAATACGAAATAACTACAAAATTAAGAAATAACGCCTAAATTATTGTATGAAAAATAACATGAAAATCAACAACGTATATCAAACCATTTGAGGGTAACATGCTTCCCGTCCCATTGGCCCCCTCAATCAACAAACACTCGAGTGACCTAGGTAGAGCGATCGATTTCTATTCCACGTATCTGAGGTAAGATGTTGACAACTTAGGGAGACAACAAACAAGAAACTAAGGAACATTAAATGCACTGATTACTCTAGGAAAATACTCCAAATGATTCCAATTCTTTATACATCTGGAGTACGACGAACTGATACTGTTAAAAGTCTTTCCAGTCCTAAGACCTTTAGGGCAACTGTTCTGGGGTGGTCATATCCCATTTTTGCCCAACCACCACAAGACACAACATTCCAGATCCAAGTCAAACGTTTATTAAAATTTTGGAGTATTCTTCTGACCACTGGAACACCCCCCCCCCCCCCCCCCCCAAAAAAAAAAAAACCTAAAAGCATGAGATATGCACCCTCAACGCATCCAACAATCATCCGCATTCCATATTAGGAAGATTGCGAGGTAGTTATCCTGCTCCGCTATATATGTGAAAAACGTCATTTAAGGTAAAAAAAAATTCAAGTTCACATTCTGACTTGAGCGTTGGAGTGTTAACATTGCCGGTACACCCCCGCTTTGTCGCATCAGAAGCTCTCTTCCATGACAACAAAATAAAATTTATTTTATATATATATATATATATATATATATATATATATATATATATATATATATATATATATATATATATATATATATATATATATATATATATATATATATATATATATATATATATATATATATATAATTTAATAAATTTTATTTATAATATGTAATCGAGAGAGTGGCTTTTACTTTAAGTGTCCTGATAAAAAAAATTCACTGCATGAAAATACACACAAAGTGAATACATTTACTTTCAAAAGTAAAAATTTTAAAGACGTGATTGGGTATTGGTAGAATTGAAAAATAATATAATTATCATTTTAAGATTGAAAAATATGAATCATTTTAAACAATTATTTTAGACAAAGGATATATTATATTAAAAAAATCAATTAATTGTACAAAAAAAGAGATTAATTTATATGTATTCAAAGTAAAATAATTACATCTGTATTAAACTAAATTATTGTATCGCTTTTATATATTAATTTCTAAAATATCCTTAAAAAAAAACTTTGTGCAAAATAAAAGGAAAATAAAAAATATTTCCATAATTGATGTTGATTTTATGACTCATATTATATGAGTCATTATCATTCAATTATTTATGAGGACCTTCAAATCATCATCATAAATTATCAATTAAAACAAATTAATTTCTATTAATTTTTCTTCTTCTTTCATATTCAAAGAAACTCATTCTTTCCCACCTTACACTGCTCTAATAAAACAAAACACATCCCAGATTTCTTCCTTACCTCGTTTCGTGTCTTGTTTTTTCTTCCATTAGATAAAACAAAACCATATCTCTAGATGGATTCTTCAACTAAAGTTACAACCTTTTTCTATGTCTTGAATCAAATCTAGTAAAAAAGTTTCAATCTTTTTTGTTTTCTCTTCTCATCTCTCTCTCTGACCCTTCAACATGGGAAGAACAACTTTTCTTCCATATAAAGATGAAACCTTTATGCCTCCATTACCACAACCACCTTATTCTTTTCATTTTCATCCTATCCCATCACCATTTTCACCCATCACTGTTTCATCTCTTCGATCTGATGATTTCAGTCCAAATGATAAATCATTGAAGGTTAGTCCAAGTATTCTTCTAATCATTATCATTCTAGCAATTGTTTTCTTCGTTTCTGGTTTACTTCATCTCCTAGTGAGGTTTCTGTGGAGGCCTCAGGATAGAGACAGTGAGGATTTGGATGATGTTACTGCTCTTCAAGGGCAGCTGCAACAGCTTTTTCATCTTCATGATGCTGGTGTTGACCAGTCTTTTATTGATACCACTCTTCCTGTGTTTCTTTATAAAGCTATTATTGGATTGAAGAACCCTTTTGATTGTGCTGTTTGTTTGTGTGAATTTGAGCTTGAAGATAAGCTTAGACTGTTGCCGAAATGTAGTCATGCTTTTCATATGGAGTGTATTGATACATGGCTTTTGTCTCATTCTACTTGTCCTCTTTGTAGAGGTAACTTGCTTCATGATTTCAATACGAACAATAGTTGTTCTCCTATTGTTCTTGTTCTAGAATCTGGTAGTGATAGTTCTAGGGAAATTGTTCCAGAAAGAGATACTGCTAGTGTTAGTATTACCGCTACTGCTACGGCTACTGCTATGACTACTACTGCTATAGGTACAGGTGATAGTGTTTTTGGTAGGACTAGTTCTGTTATGACAACGAATTCGGTTTTTGGTTATCGCGGAGACAGTGAATTCGGAGGTGATTCGGCTTCGGTTGGAAACATTCCTAAGCCGAATGTTGGAGTGGAGAAAGTTGTGACCGTTAAGCTTGGAAAGTATAGGAATGTTGATGGTGGTGGAGGTGGAGGAGGGGAAGGAAGTAGTAGCAACAATGTGGATGATAGGAGGTGTTTTTCTATGGGTTCGTTTGCTTATATTATGGACGAAACATCTTCGTTGCAGGTACCGATTAGAACTCCGATGAAGATGAAATCAAGCAAGAAAAAACCTGTTTTGCCTTTGATTCCCGGACATAGGCCTGCGATGTCAGAATGTGATTGCGAATCAAGAAGAGATTTCAAGTTTGCAAGCTTTGATTCGAGTAGAGGAGTAGTCGAGGATTTTGCAGGTATTGGAAAAAGTAGAAAGGAGAGTTATTCTATATCGAAGATTTGGCTTCGAGAGAAAAAAGATAAGACTAATGGCGATGTTGCGGATTCGTCTAGAAGAGCTGTTTCGTCGAGGTTTCCATTACAAAGTAATGTTTCGGAGATGGACTTTGGAGGAAGTGAATTTGGTGGTTATGATGAAGAGAATCAAAGTTGTTATAGTATGGATTCATCTCAAGCTAGAGCACCTTCATTTGCTAGAAGGACTTTGATTTGGCTCACTGGAAAACAGAATAAGGTTGTTCATTCTGCTTCTACTTCTACACTTTAGTTTTTTTGAAACATTCTTAATTTATCTTACAATTCTAGAATATAGATTTTATCAAAGTATAGTTTTAGTGGTAGAAAACTGGAGGAGGAAAAAAAGTGATGAGTTTGTGGCATCTGAATACATTGTTTCTGCATGAATTTTGTTGATGTCCATTGAATATGTGTTCACCTTAGTGGAGATGAAAGCGCTGTTAAGAAATTCTCTTGTTCATGTCTGGTTTTTTCGGTTCGGTTTCGTGTCAGAAAACCGAACCACAACAACCCTAAAAACTCCGTCTAGTGTTGTATTTGGTGTAAATTTAAGAAGGCGTTAGCTTCTGCGAGACGCATTGATGAAAGATATTTGATGCAGCTATGTTTTATTTGCGTCAAATATTTTTGTAAGTTGGTATCCTAGAAATCACTTGAATATTGACAAGTGATGTAGAAAAAAGTGGTTAAAATTAAAAGTGATTTTTTTGAGAAAGTTAAGAGTGAAAATGTGTCTTTATGGAAAAGGTGAGAATAGAGCAGAGTTTGGGCCCAATATTAAATGCAAAATCTAGGGACTTTATGAAAACTTTATAATATGGGTGAAATGAAAATTCAAATTCAAAATTTGAAATGAAAATGCAGTGGCTGTCTACTATTGATGTGGAAAGATTAGCTGAAATAGTGTGCATGCATTAAATTGAAGTAATATTGAGAAAGATGGAAAAGAAACATTGGTTTGATTCAATATGAAACATTAATTAAGGTCACGAGAACAGATGGATGCAGCTGTCTGCTGTTATTGCTGCACCTAACCTCTTTAGTGTGGAGTACTTCACATTGTTGAATTGAACATTGTACTTTCTCTCACATTCTCAAGTTTGATCTAAATAGTAGAATTTTGATACAACTTGTTAAAAAGTTTGGAAAGAATTGGAAGCAATAAGACTCAATACTTTTCAATCACAAAAAAGTGAGACATCATTAATAACTATAAAATATTAGGTATATGATTAGTCTTTCTTATATATCCAATATTTTATACATTCTTAACTAATCACTCTACTCTAATTCACTCATAATCATTCTTTTAGACAATAGTTTTCAGGATTGGGTTTGCCTGCTGTGAGCAGATCTTTGCGGTCATGCATTTATGCGTTTTTAATCGTCTGATTAAAATCAAATGATTATGATTTAAGAAGATATTTTTAAAATTATTATATAAAGTTTAAATTTTTTTATTTTACACTATTTGATTAGGATCTAATGGCTATAAACATGACGATTGCGTGATTGCGTGAGAACTCTGACTAGCACATTCTTTTCTTTTGTGTAAAATTAATGAGAGACACAAAATGTATAAAATGCAAATAATTTAGCGGGAATTTATATATTTATCTAAAATCTTAAGACCATAAAATATATGAGTCAACTCTCTTATAAATCTAATATTTTACTCACTCATAGTCAAAGTGAGATTAATTGAAGTCAATTATTTCTTTACGGGTGTGAGTCTCTCACATCCCTTTAACATGATCCACCTCCTAATCTTTCATTAAGTCTGATCTTTCATTAAGTCAAACCAACATTAAAAGATCATTTGTTTGGAAGTTCAAAAAGTCGAAAACACCAACAAAATAAATACTCCAAAATCACAAAGAAGAATAATATTTAAACTCCTAAATTTAACACTGTGAGGTGTTGGATCGAACTCTAGTGTTGTCGAAGTCTGTTCGCAAGTAATGCATGCTGTAGTCGAAGTTTGTTCTAACATGCATTAGTCAATATTGTTAGGGTTGTTAGCATGTTGAATTGGGTCTTGCTTGTAAGCCCAATTGTTTAAGTTAGCTTGTACCCTAAGTTAGCTTGTAATGGATAATTGTTAAAAAGCCCATTAGGTTAGTGTGCTATTTTATTATAAATAGGATGCTAGTTTCTCAATCTTGGCATAAGGAAAAATAGGAAGATAAAATCCTAATTTCAAGGGAGAGAGATTATTTTGTTATTCTTGTATACTTGTAATCTTGTTCTAAGAGAAAGGAAAGAATAGCAGTTTAATAACCAATCCTTGTTATTTCTTCTTTATTAACCCTAACCCTTGTGTGTTTCTTGCTAAGAAACCGTTTATACTTTGTTTAAAAGTATCCGATTCACAACAAATTGGTGCGGTGAGCGTGGAGAAGATGCCTTCAACAAAGTATGATATTGAAAAGTTCACCGGAGTGAACGACTTCGGTCTGTGGTGCTTGAAGATGAAAGCCCTATTGGTTCAGCAGGGTTGTTTGGAAGCGTTGAAGGGTGAGGCAGCCATGAACGCTGCGTTAACGACAAAAGAAAAGACGAGCATGATCGAGAAAGCCCACATTGCAATATTATTGAGCCTTGGTGATAAGGTTCTTCGACAGGTATCAAAGGAGACTACAACATCGGGATTATGGGTGAAACTTGAAAGTTTGTACATGAACAAATCTCTGGTGAATCGACTCTACCTTAAGCAAGCTTTATATTCATTCAAGATGAGTGAAGACAAAGTGTTGGCTGAGCAGTTGGATATTGTAATACCCCAAATTTTACCCTTATATTTAGTCAGTCATTTCGCATAGCATCTCATATGTGCATTTGCTAACCACTAACAAGTTATAGAGGTGTTTTGTTTTGCAGATTTGGTTCCAGGGGTATTTTGGTCATTTTACGCAAATTCTGCTAATTCCTTGAAGACGGGCTGTTATTAAGTTCTGAGGCGTTTGATACACTATTTTAGAGGCATTTACCTATCACCAGGTCTGATTATATCAAGGGTTTTACTGGGGTATTGTTGGATTGTTGCTCACAGTCTTTGGTCGATGGAATTCAATTACGGGCAAGGTTATCATTGATATTAAATCGGTGATTGATTACAGCGTGCATCCGTGTTTGGGTTATAAAATGATTGGTTAGAATCTAAGATTGGAATGCGATTTGAATTTAATCAAGTGCTGGGATTAAGACTACAAATGAACGAACAAGAATGTCGTTCGGGAAATGCTTACAGTTTATGACTATGTTAATGAGTTTAAACATTTGTGGATTTATTCACAAATATTTATAATTTATAACTAGAAATAAAGTAAGTAAATTCAAAATTGAGCAGGTCACGAATATAAAGGAAAGTCTGACATTTTATTTCATAAAAAGATCATCATACAAGAAGGAGATTGTTTCACATTTTCAAAATGCTGTTACAAGGAGTTACATTAATTCTAGAAGTTCTAGGTCCTAAATCCTAAAGACTTCTAAATGTCTTCGTGATGTCCTTGAGCTTCTCCGCAGAATCTTCGTGATGTCTTTGAGCTTCTCCGCAGAATCTCCAATTCACCTGCACATCAAAACAGAACAAGCAGTATAGAAAAAAAAATGTTATAAGTTGTTTTTGACACTCTCAGAACAGTGTCATCATCGAGTGCCGGGAGTGGCACAACCGAAGCTGCGTCCTACCCCCCGTTACCGATCCGCGCCGTTGGCGTCAGATCAGGTAACACCTGTTCTTATCGTTACGGGACATCCGAGAGATAGAAGTGATAAAAGAAGCGGGACTGATTCGTTTTGCCGCGATTGGATTTCCAAACTGATACGAGAGTAAGGCAACATGGTCAATCTGGACTCAGACCCGGATGCCGACAGGTCTAAATCACTTTGTGCTCTAAGTTTTTTTCCAACACCTGAAAAGCCACAAACGCATCAGTATCAGATTCAGAATTTGGAACTCAAAACCTAAACAATTCAGGTGAGGTCATGAAAACCAAGTCCAAACAGAACACCAAATACAAACTAAACTGCATCAAAACAATGTATCAGAAGGCAAATTCATGCGCAAAGAGCCATAAGAAAACATCCTATAAATCTGTCGTAACAGAAAGTCCCCAACAGGGTCCAAAGAAAAGCGTAACAGCCTTAATACAAGAAACAGGTTCAGCAGAAAAAACCAGAGATATGGTACAGTTCGGTAAAGTGTCAAGAATCAAGTTCTAGCATAACAGATGGTTGGAGCATACCAAATCCAAACCAGGACATCCAACCGAGAACTGCCTGAAGACAATGGAAACAATAAAGGTATTCGAAGCTATACCAGCCCTCGGCTCAAACATCATTACAAAAACAAGGCAGAAGAGCAGGCACATTGGAAAAACAAATTACCAAACACATGGCTCAGTTCATCAACATCATAGCCCAAATCATCATCACCAATTCAATCAGAGCAACCTGCCAAAACTGCACAGAAGAGTCGAAGTTCATACCAGTTCAGAATGCAAACAGCATAAAGTCATGACACAAATTGTACCGGCAAGGATAAGCAACATAAACATAGCAGTGCACAAGACCATAGCAGTCCATATCAGTCGTCGCGGCTCAGAATACCATCATCATCGCCGTATACCATTCTCAGCGGCATTTAACTCAACCAGAGCGCATGTACTGATTCTGAAAAAAGAAGAAGAAAAGTCGTGAAGATCAAAACCATGTGGATATCCAAAACGAGCCCATAATTCAATCTGTAACAGAAGGGAAAAGAAGATCAAGGCCACGATTCCAAACCATATCAGAAAAATAATAGAAAGAGATTTTGATTTGATATCAATTCCAAATCAGAGAAAAAACGTTTCAATCAGATCCTAACAAAGTTCAATCAGATATCAGAATCATACCAAATGAAATCTAAATCATATCTGTCAACAAAATGGAAAGTTTCAAATCAGTATCAGATTGTATCAAAAACGGATGCTAACAAATCAAATCGAATCATCAAAAATCAACACGAAATCAAATCTCAGCCAAAAATAACACAAATCCAACATGGATTAAAGGCCCAAAAAGATGAAATCGGAAGAGTATAAGAAGGGAACAATCTCACCATCAAAAACCCTAAGGGGTAGCCGCGAGAAAGAGAAGAACGAACGAGATCGCGAAAGCCCCAGAGGAACGGACAATCGCGAACAAACCCTAGGCGGCGCAAGAAGGAGGCGGCCGAGACTCAGAGGGACCGGCACCCTCATC